ACCACATTAAGTCATTGTTTGAAGACGATACCACATTACTCATCGCTCAATGACAACGACAAATACAATCATAATAGAAGCGTAACAACAACAGGACAACTTCGTTACTCTAAGAAATAAATCACTGGTCCGCTTATCTAAGTGGAGGACAAGGACACTCTATCCAACGCCATCTGTAGCTTCATTGCATCACCTAGATCTAAAATTTTTACGAGTCATCAGATCAAGTTACACAACGCTGCTGGAGTCACCATTTCTGAGTATACAATACAAGGTGGCAAAGCCACCAGATTTGAACGAACAAAGTTGCAGAGCCACTAGATCTGGGCACATAAGGCAGTACAACCAAATAATCAGCCGAGGAGAGCATCATCATCAAATAATCACACTGACAAAAGTGGATCCGACCCACCAGCAGCCACAAATCCCACCCTAAACGTCAAATCAAGCTCCAATTAAAGAAGAGACCTTGAGAGGGGCGTGACCCAGATTTAGATAAGAGGCTTAAATCCATGAAAGCTGCATACAAAATGGTGGGATAAAAAGAATGGGAAGGGGATAAGGAGATAAGGAGAAAGTGAGGAGTTATCACCGACCCAAAGCCATAGCACGGGATCGGTGACTATAGTGATAGTAAATTAGGTTCATTTTTTCGAAATGCAAGGTTCTACTCAAGCCTATAGTGTCTTCTACCTAGGTGACTAGTTAACAAACTTTTGATTTTGTTTATAAACAAACAGCACTACAAAAAATATCATTATGCAGATTTCCTTTGTAAAAGCATAATAAGGGAGCAAGAAAAAAAACATACGGAAAGCCGAGATAAAATTTTAGAATACTAATAACAACGTTTTTCTAAATTCAAATTTATCAGTACATCTTTTCCTTTACTATGTTATCAACGATATACCTTTTACTTTAAGAACATAATAACATACTTAACTAAATTACAAACTCATCATATAGATATATGTCATCTTCACAGAGTTGTAAAAAACCACAATTAGATATCAAACTTACCACAAACATATATCGTCTTCTAACATGTGAAGGTCGAATGTGAGACCTCCTTCAACTAAATAGAGACTGTTGGATATATGTCAACAATCTGTGATATAATTATATATACTAATAAATAATAAATGCGAATAAAAAAAATACAGAGTATGAACAAAACAAAAATATAAAACAGACAACTTGAAGATCGAGGCGTACCGTAATGTCCTTGAAATATAAATTTCGTCCCTACTTAGTGCTTGTAGTTCTACGGACGTTTGCTTCACCAGGATTCAACAATCAAGTTAGAATTCCAGCATCGGAAAACTTAACTTCTGGCGAATTTCTGTGTGATTCTCTCAGTAAGAAGGTTTAGGAATGTAGAAGAAGAATTTGATATTTTCTGTGTTATAAATGCCATGCAGATGGATGTATATATAGTGGGATTATGCCTGTTCGCATGGGATGTGACTGTTGGGAGACATCTCTTTAGAGGGGTGTTGTGCTCTCTGCGTTTTTCCATTGGCTTCAGATTTCATCTGAAAATATGAGTTTGTTCAACAATTCAAAAAGAATTTAATTAAAAAATAATAATTAATTAAAGAATATAATTTTCAGAGCCCAAGAGCCCATCTTTTGATAATTAATTGATAAATAATTAGTACACCCTAAAGCCTAACCTCAAAGTTGAACCCAATTTCATTCTCAAAGGTCCATTACTTCAATCACTATCTATAAGAAACAAAACCTTATAAAGCGAGGAAACCTTTTAGGAATGGCCAATGTGGAATAATGAAATTTCTACTCAAATTTTCCAACAGAGACAACTACCGTAAAGACAAAGACTAGTTGGTTTATTACTATTATTTTATCATTTTACAGAAAATAAAAATGAGGTACATTGTGTGTAATCTATTTAATCTTTTGGTAATATAGTCTCTAAACTAAATTAATTTCCTTTTCTTTGAAAAACTAAATTTGTTTCCTAAATGTGATGATTCGTGGTATGAAATGAATTTAAATAAAATATCTTTCTTTTTTTTTCCTCAGTAAACAAATAAGCTGAATACCTAAAAAGAACAAAAGAATCGAACTAGAAGTCGGTTTCTAAATTACAACGATAAAAATGGCGTGTAACATGACGTGTGACTAGTAACACTTACAACAGATAGAAAGATGATTCCTGAATGGAGGGTTGAAAGTATGATGTGTATACCACATTATCATTATGCGAATGCAAACCATTTATCGTTACTAAAATTCACTTGATTAATTAAGGATTCGTAAAGTTTTTAGTATTTATCTTTTATGCTTGAGATCAAATGAAGTGTATAAGAGATTAGATGGATGAAGAATGGTGGGTGGAAAGAGCTAGGGGAAGAAACTAAAAGAATGAATAGAAACAAAATCTTTTAAGGAAAATAATTTAAAATAATTTAGGAAAACTAATAAAAAGGACTTCAAAACTTTGAGTTTTAATGATAAGACAAAATGAAGGGTAAAATGACTAATACCAGAATTGACTTTTCAGTGTAAAATTGTAATTTTTCGTTAAAGTGAACAGTACCGTGGACTTTTCGTTAAAACTCCCAAATAATTTTTATTTGTACACTTGTTTATTTTTTCTACGTCTCTTCAACCATTATTCCTATACTCTTATTATCTGTTCTTCTTCTTTTCCATGTACTTCGCTCCGTCTCCAGCACATTAAGGAAACCTAAAAGCTAAAAAACAAATGATTATCGGGGCCATATTATCGCCATGCACACTCGCAACAGATGAGAGAGCCATTCGTTTTGCGAGAGGGTAATTATAAGTGCGTTTGTTGGAAAGATGACATGCTTCCACTTACCAGACACAGGAGAAAAGGTTGTGAAAAATACAGAGAAATTAAAGGGATGAAATAATGTTCCACTATGACGCATGCATGCACGAATAAGCAGGATGGGAAGACAGCTCACGCAAAGCAACACAGCAATGGGTCTACTTCTCATCCTTCCACCAAAACGCATAGCTTTGTCGACCCACTTCCAAGAGAAATTCTTATGTCCATAGACCGGACCAGATGGCTCATACGGCTCACACACAAACATCTACACCTCTCCCACCCTAATTTTTTTAATGTTCATTCTGTTTCATTCGTGTTCAACTCCCCTCTCACATAACACCCATAACTCACTACTAACTGTGATCTCACACAAGAACTTCTCCACCTTCGAATGGCACAACTAACTGTGGCCATCCGACGTGGCAACTTTGAATACAAGTTGTACTTTATGGTACGAGTGTGTGAGGGTACTATGGTAATTTTGGCCAGTATAAATTAGGTGATATCCCTAGGTTTGATAAACAACCATCAAAATCTAATGCAGTCGAATTGCTTTAAGTGTATGCCATCCTCCATGGATGATTGGGACATATAAACTGGGGATGTCCTTATCAAATGGCTTGAATTTATGTTTGTGTTCTTGGTGAATAGCAGGTGATCAAACACAAGAATATATAGTTGGTGCAACGTCTATGATCAACATCCAACATTAGTTATTAACAATTGTGACTCGTGACCTGTGACTATACTAGCTAGCTAATTGGTCCGCTACCAAATCTAAGTTGGGGTTTGTCAAATAATACTGTATATTATGATATCAAATGATTTAAAGAACTAGCTAGATTGTCATCTTCGAAAGTGATTTCTTTTAATTAATTTCTCATGTTAGATTAAATTTTTAACTTTTGTCATTTGTAAGTACATTCAGTGTATAGCGTTACAGATGCTTAATAATATATTTAAGTATTATACCTAAGCTTAATTAGTTAGTTAACCCTATGTGATTCTAACTTCTTCACATGCTCCTAATTAACGATATAGATCACAAGTCTTAATAAAACTTAGGGTCCAAAACTCAAGAAAACTCAAACGAAACTAACAAGCATTGGGAAGGAGGTTATGGCCATGTCTATTAGTAGAGTAAATTCACCAAGGCCAACAAACAAAAGAGATAGACATACATGCGTTCTATTACACCACCGTCCTAGCATTCCACATCATCAATATTGTAGTGTTATGTAAAAAAGTTAAAACACATGACATCACGTTATTTATCTAAAATTTGACTGGATTAAAATTTGATACCATTTTTTTTTTTTTTTTTGTTGTTGTTGTTGTTGTAAAACTGGGGGTCAAAAGACCCATGAAAAACATGATTAGTGTGTTTTGGTTGCAATTTGAAACGACTTTTGGCAAGGTTTATGTTTGGCAGTGTTTACAACAAGGCTTACTGTAATTATAGTCACTGGTACTGGCTAACTGGCTATAAATTTGATAAAAATTTTAATTAACAAATTTGGCAGGACAGACCAAGATTTTTATAAACGAGTTATAACGTATGTACCATAATTAGCTAAACTGAAACACATGAGCGGTGACTATTTTATTTTATTTTATTTGGGTGCTAATAAGAAATAAAGAATAGGGCGCAAATTTTTTTGGATGAAATAGCATGCAAATTGGTATTTTATTGAGCCTTGGTAGGCTTGAGGTCATTTGCCAAGTCATATTGCATGCTTGTCGACGTATGCTTCGAGTAAACATATCGACTGATGTTAATAATTTTTGAAGAAGCATGCCAACAAATGTAAACATATATTGAGTGATCCTATCAAAAGATGTCCATAGCAACGCATACAATAGTATGAGGCTAGCAGCTACCATGCCCTGCTTAGTGCCTATAAAGACAATTCGTCGAACAGTTGGAAAACAAATTTCAAAGGCATTTTAAATTTTCAAAGAACAGCACACAACTCTTCTGTAAATTGACCCACATTGCCTCAAGGTGCATCCGCCCTGAGCATGAGCACACCTTTTACCCGATGCTCCAAGCCTATATGCTTGCACGCACAAAAAATAACAATCTTTATGGGTTGTGTAGGACTTATGGCCCAAGCCTATATACTCGCATCAACTGGCCCATTTGTGGCCTCTTTATTTTTGCCTTAAACGGTTAACCCCACACAAAGAACCGAATCGAGAGACAAAAATGGCGAGGAATTCAGGGTTGCCATGGCACGGCAATTGCTCGGCGATCGCAGCAAGTTCTGCGCCGCACTTCTTCATCGTTACAACCTTCCTTCCAGTTCTTTCCAAACCCTGGCTTCTTCAATCCCCACCTCACCACCTCCGCCGCCCACAGCAACCCCTTCCACCTCCCAACCCTTCTCCAATTCCCTCCACCACTCCCCAAACCCTCGCTTTCTGCAGCTTCGACCTCTCTCCTCGCCCTCGGGTACTCCCTTTTTTTGTTATTGTTTCAGCCATTGTTCAAAGTTTCAATTTTTGAATTTTGGGTTTTGGAATAGCTCATTAAATTGAATTCTTGATTAACTTGAATTTCAGGTTCCTCAAACATTGTTGTCATTAAGTCAGAGGATGAATACAGCAGCGCAATCAGCAAAGCTAAAGGTAATTTTTCTGGGTTTTTCGAATTGTTTTGTTGTAAGAAAACTTATCAAACATTTATGCAAGTTATCTGATTTATTTGCTAAATTTCATATAGACGGAGCTGAGCCAGCACTTTTCTACTTCACTGCAGTCTGGTGCGGGCCTTGTAAGTTCGAAATACGTTTTCCTTTAAGCAACGAAGTCATTGGCACGAAATGTGGCGTAATCATGTGTTTTGAACTTAAAATTGGTACTTTGGTGTGATCTCTTGTGCAGGCAGGTTCATATCTCCAGTCATTGGAGAGTTGAGCGAGCAATACCCACATGTAACAACATATAAGATTGACATCGACGAGGTGCGCATTCGCATTGGAATCTAGTTATATGTTAAGTGTTGTTAATTATGAAATCTAGTTATTTGTTACGGGTTTCAATTCTCAAGTTAGTTTTAGCAATAACTTTACTTGTGGGCTCATAGCCATCTGGCATGGAATGGTTAGCTAGTTTGATGTAATTTTATTTATTTTTAATTTGGGAGCATGATTTTTTTTTTTTTTTTAATTCATACCTAACCTTGTTTATTCTATCTACAGGAAGGACTTACAAACACTTTGGGCAAGTTGAATATTTCCTCTGTGGTAAATGATTGCTCTTATTATGTTTGAAAGAAAATGCTCCAATTTGTTTTGTTCTTCGTTTATAGCTTCTTTTATTCATGGCACTCATGGGATGATCTTTTTAGGATGGTCTTTTGAATGGATTATTACTGGTTTTGCTTCTTAGTACTTCTATATGTTTTAACTTGGACATGGTGAAATCCAAGCTCCATTTGGTTTGTGATCTGATGTGTGTATTTTGGTGCAGCCTACATTCCAGTTCTTTCAAGATGGAAAGAAGTTGGCTGAAGTTGTTGGTGCTGATGTTGCTCGCTTGAGAGACACTTTTGGAAAACTCTACAAGTAATTCTTTAGTACATTACACTACACTTGTGTGCTTTCTCATTTGTGAATGTGGTGTTTATATGAAATGCATAATAGTTTTTAGCGGTTCAAGTTTCTCCAAATGCGATCAGTTCTATAGCTCAATTTATATTAAACCCTCTCGTAGGATTCCATTTCGTGTGTGTGTGTGTGTAACTAAAACTGTTGGTGTTGATGACACTTAGAAAGTAGCTTTTGGAAAACGTGGTAGTTGCATAATTCATTTGCACTTTATCTTTGGAGCTTACTACTGGACCATATGATCCATTTTGAGAATCAAAAACCAAAAAACTCTCCGCAATGTGGAACCTTCTGTGGTTTTTTGGTGTTATTGTTATGTGATGATGGTGTAGGTGAACAACTGTGTTCCTCCTACATTTATGTCAATTTTGTCTCTTTTTTACGGTTACGGCACTTAATTATGCATTTACTAGCTACTTGATTGTCTGTTAAAAAAAAATTTTGCAAAAAGAAAGAAAATCGTAAAGGAAAACATTTGGTGGTGTAGCAATTGTTGGGGATCTGTATGCTGTTAAATTTGGGTTACTCTTTTTGTATTGGTTTAACTTGTGTAAGTAGTTTCCAAAGAGATGCATAAATTTAGGATTCTTGGACATGCTTGTGAATCGATAGCTCATGTTCTCTTGAATTGCTTTTGCATGTTAACAATAGAAAGCGTTCATGCTTTTGCTTTTGTATTGCACTTCCTCACTCTCAGTCAAACGCAGAGACACTGACACATTTCCTTATAGTTTCTAGCTTTCTGCTGTATGATCTGGAATTATGGCTGAGCAGTAGTTTTGTGTTCCAGGCAGGAATGAGTGAGGATGATCAATTTGCGCCCGAAAAAAAAAGACGATCAAGAAAGACTATGGACAAAGGGGAGAATAAACTAAAGGAGATTGTAAGAATTATTTTGTGCTAGCAAGCTGATTGTAAGATTGCCTTTTCTACTATAAACGGTTAACTTGTTCGACAAGTTTGGTTTTTGAAGCTCTATCAAATTTGTGTTGGTTTATATGGTAATTAGTTAAAATCCAAAACCCTCCATGAATAGACAGTGGGGTTTTTCTCACATGGAAGTTTAATTGGAATCACTACCAAGATATAAACTATATATTCACAATGGGTTAACAAAACAAAGCTATACATATTTTCCCCGCATATATGTGAGTCGAGCATACTCCAGCCAAGTGGAGTTAACTAGCATTTGACTCTGAATATTAACACAAAAATCTCTACATTTGATGTCATAACCAAATCCAGCTACAAGGGAGGTTTCTCTATTAATCTAGGGCAAGGGAAGATGATCGAAGATGATCGAAGCTGAAGTTTGGGGCCTGTATTTCGGACTCCAACTTGCTCTTGAAGAAGGCATATCTAAATTAATTATTGAGAGTGACTTTGACCTTGCTGTGTTATTGTTGAATCAATCTGTGCAAGATATTTTTCACCCTCTCGCTACCCTTTTGAAGAGTTGCAGGGATAATGATGAGATGGATTGTGCATTGTGAGTTGAAACAAGTTTTAGGGAACTGAACAATGTCGTATATCAGCTAGTCAAATAGAGCTACAATTTGGACCCTGGTCTGTATATTTTTGAGCTTCCTCCCATAGCTAACGCAACATTTAGTGAATGATCTTGTAGGAGCCTTTAGGGTTGCTCAATTATATTAAGGAGGATTTTGATATAGGCGCCTCGTTTTTCAATTTCGTTGATTATACATCTATTTCTTTTAAGGATTTGATTAAACATCTTTTCTACAATTTTACATTTGATTATATTGGTACGTTTGATAACTATAATATGGGTACGTTTTGTTTTTTAGTACATTTAGAATCTAAACGTGCCAAAAGTTGGTACGTTTATTTTCAAATGTACCAGAAGTTTTAAATACATTTTTTATGTAACTATACTTAAAAGTTTAACAAATTAATGAAGTTTTGTTATGAAAGTATTAATGACTTTTTAGATAAAGGAAGAGACTAATTAAATATAATAACATAAATAAAAATTAATTTTTTTAGTGATAATAAGGAATTAGTTAAATTCATATTTTTAATAAAGCCACAAATTTAAAATTCCTAGATTGTAGGAAATTAGTTCTTCGCTAGCTTAAGTGGATATATACTAAATAAATTAAACAATACTGAGTTGACAATTGTTCCAAACGTCTTAATCAAATTTTATAAAGGAACAAATATTTAGTCTAAACAAATTGGAAAAAATGTGAGGGATTCTAATTACTCCTTATATAGTTTAATTTGTTGTAATCTTATAAGCCATTCAATGTGTGGATGGTCAACCCACTACAACTCTACATGTTTGTCCACTAATTCACTTGTTGCCTCATCCTTCCATATAAAATCACACACAAATACACAGATAGACATACGCCTGAAAAGAGAGAAAAGAAAGAAGGAAGAAGAAAGGAAGAAGAAAGAAACCACAAGACTCATGGCAAAGAGAAGAAAAAGAGAGGAGAGAATAGAGAGAATTATATTTGTAATCTTATTACTTCATATTATAAATGAAAACATCAATGTTACTCCGATGACATACTCCAGTCACACTGACTGTAGAGGAACCTCGTAAATTTTGTATCTTGTTTATTTATTCCACTACACACACTGTCGATTTTACAACACGTTATCAGCACGAGAAGCTCTGGTGTCAATGGAAAGCATAATGCCACAAATCTTGTTCACCTCTGTCGCCTGGAATCTCATAGATAAGAAAATCTTTTCATTTCTTCTTAAAATCTTTGTACAACTGATTTCCCTAAAACAAATGTATATATGTTGTTGTATGACTGTATATCATCCTTTGCAGAAGTAAAAGAGTACAAACTCAAAATTCGTAAAGAATCTGATAGCCATGTAAACAGCCTCGGAACTCCAACTTGTAGACCTCGGATTGAAATACTTTCTTCTTCAAAGTTGTTCGTACGCCCAGTACCTACAACATATCAAATTTTCAGAAAATTCCAATAGTGCGATCATTGTAAATGCCTGAAATACCAAACCAGTTTTCAATTTCCACAGAAAGTTAGACAGGCAACTTATGAGTACCAAAACTCCATTTCGGTAGCTCAGATCAAAATTGTTTCTTCACGAAAGTTGTTCAGTATCCTCTTATCCATATCATACTAACATTTGAACTAAATAACGGTTTGATCTTCTCATAAATTATAGACACTCTTAACTCCAAAACTATGTGAACCGTTTCGACTTTTTCGAAATTCATTGGAGGAGGAACAACAATTGGAACTTATTGTTACTATTACCTCCTGAGTAACCAAAAGGACTTAGAGTTGTGAAATGAAAAAAAAAAAAAAATACTAAAATAAAAAGAATGAAACAAAAGAAGTAGCGGACCAAGAAAAAGAAAAAAGCAAAAAATGAGAACTTAATTATTGCATTTTCAATTTTGGCATATTTATGTGTATAATGTTGTTTTAAAGCCATATCACAAGTTCTATTTATTTATAATGGGTAGAATTATTACCCTTTGCTTTAAAGCTTTGATATTTATGTGAATGGTGCTGAATCAAAACCCTTGTCACAAGTTTTATTTACTTAAAAGTAATTTATTTACCATGGTTGGAATTACTGTATATTGCTTTAATTTATTTATTATATTTTTTGTTACGATAAGTACATACTGGACCCGAAGTTCTTCGATCAGATCAGAACCTGAAGTTTTTTTATCATCATCACATAAAATGATTGAACCTGAAGTTCTATCATGCAAAAGGATCAAGAATGAAGTCCCTAGATCTTCAAGATCGGACATGAAGTTTCTTGATAAGTAACTTAAGTTTGAAGAGCCGAAGTGCCACAACTTAATTGTAATAATGACCATGAGAGTCTCAATTCATAGGCTATTAAATAAGGACCAGAAGTTCCTTGAGGTATGATACATTTTGCTAGAGAGTTTACATCTCGAAATTTTAATGATTATTGCATGTCATTGGGTATTGATGTTGAACACCATGTTCCTCATGTTCATACTAAAAAATGATTTAGCATAAGCATTTATTAAGCAAATGAAATTGATTACCCACGTTCTGCTCATAAAAACGAGATTGCAAGTTTTTCTACATGTGGACATACCATTATACATAATTCACTAGTAAGTTTGGTTGAGACCAATTATCAACCATTAATATTTCTCAGTACAACTCGTGTTTGAGCACCAGCCAAACATTACACATGTACAAGTTTTTTATTATATTATTTGTGTGCCTATTGCACTGTCACAATGTTCTAAAAATGAGGCCTGAAAGCAAATTGGAAATTTATCTTGAATTTAATTCACCATTTATCATTCAACATTTGGAACTCTTGATTGGGGATATTTTTACCGCGCGGCTTGCAGATTAGGATTTTTTATAAGACAATTTTTCCGCCGTTAGGATGAGAAAATAACATCGTTCCAGAAGAATAATGAGAAAATATCATTACATAAAAATGATGAGAAAAGACCGTTCCAGAAGAATGAAGAGAATTTGTCTCATTTTGATTCATGAAGCAATCAATATAAAAACGAAGTGAGAATAATTGAATGATGCAACGATATGCAAATCAAATGTCAGATGCATTTAATGATGCAACGAAAGTAATAAAATCACATATACTTGTTGCAAATGTGCCTACATGAATTGATGTTCCTGTTAGACAAAATAATGTGGTAACAAATCTATTACACGCCTGAAACGTGGCAGACCCTTAGATTCAAAAGGTTCAGTACTTCGAAAGAAGAAGAATATGACACTATTAAACTATTGCATTCCCAAAGCATAACTATTGCATGCCAGAAGCATGACAGTCGCTGTATGCATGTCCCAGAAAAAGACAATCCGCAGACATAGGAATGTTGATATCTCGTGCATGAAGCATGATAGACATATATGTTCTAATGACTCAACTCCCGGAAGTGGAGATTAAAATCCCAACTCTATAACGCTCTAGAGGAGGTTATGATCTGCATTCTCTAAATTATGACTATCCTAGAGGAAATTGTGTAATGTCCTTGAATAGGCAATAGATATCCAAAGAAATGAAAAGCTTTTATGCATGTGCATGCACATGAGAATATATGATCAATGATTGATGACAACCAATGATAATTTTGGTTTTTACAAGCAGCTACTAAATTCATCAATGAGCTGTATTGATATTAAGTCACGTTCTTTTGTTCATCGACGAAAGGAAATATTATTTGCCAAAAATGGAGAAAAGCAATTCCATTACAATCTTGTAAGAACGTGAAAAAATGGACCTATATATATGTGTATATAATACAAATAGCCAAATAATGTTATATATAGGCATTTGTAATACAGTGAATTACACCAACATGATATGACGTTAGGTTATTAATTGAAACCTGAAATTATGCTTTTATAAATAAGTTCATATGAATGGAGAATTATATACGAAGGGTTATGAGTCGCCCACATCATATCTCCATAAATAAATCCCTCAAATATACATGGAAACAAGTTACTCTGTATAAAGTATAAAGGAATATGTGTTATGAAGTGTAGAAAATCTTTGAAGGATTCAGATTGCTTGAAGAAAACCTTGGAAGGGTAAAACATAAAATATTACTTAAATACCAATGAATGGTATAAATTGCCTTAATGAGTACTATCATTATGATATTGTTGTAACATACCAAAATCTCTTGCAAGAGTTGATAATATTAGATTTAGACTCATGAAGAGTCTAAAAAGTTTATAAAGTGTTAAGAAAGATATTGTCTCGAATTGCAGAATCGAACAATATGCCAACACAAATCTTATCCATGATGTTTATAAAGAATCATATGGATTGAAGATTATGAGTTGAATACTTAAATTATTTAGACACTAAGAGTGATCATTCATCTTCATGAAGGTAAAAATAAATTGATATTTGGTTCAGAAGTACCACATCTTAGTGAAGTATATGCTTTATTGTATTTACACAATATATTGAATGAAATGAAGCTTATCTATTAATATCTCTGAG